TGAAGAGCCTCAGATGTCTCCATACATCTCTATCACAGCAATGTCCACTATCTTGGGTGTGTAAAGCTGCTGTTCTGGGTCTATGATGGGTCTTACAATTGAAACACGTAGATCTAACTTTCAAAGTAGCTATGTTTTCTACAAGGATTATAGATAACTAGCAAATCATCACCCAGATATTTAGACTATATACTGTCTCAATTTGTGCATACATGAAAATATTTTTATTTTTGATTTCAACACCTGATCTTTTTATCTTTTATTTTTTTCTTTCATTTTTTCATGTTTTAAGCGTATTTATGCAAGTTTGGCCTTAAATACCTATTTCTTGGTTTTTCAAGAAGCCACTGGGATCAAAAATTATTTTTGGTCTCAGTGGTACAGCCTACTCCACGCTGACGAGCGCCAAAAAGCGCGAAACGCGTTCATTGATGGCTTATCTTGATTTATCAAGAAATTGGGTTGGCCAAATATCAGGGAACAGGTTAAATCAATGTTTAGTTGATTTCTGTTCCACCAGATGGCGTTCTGCCTTCTGTAAAGCACATGTGCTCCTGGTCAGGATTTGCTATTTTTGTTTTTGATTTCAACACCTGATCTTTTTATCTTTTATTTTTTCTTTCATTTTTTTCATGAAAAATATGTGGAAAAAAAATTGTAGATAAGTGAAAATCTACTGGTATCAAGTGGATAAATTAAGAAAATACATCTCTAGATTGTGTAACTAAAAGTTGCTTATGGATTGCACAATCTGTCGGAATATACACTGCGTGACATTGAAAATGGAACACCAAGAAATAGTGGCCAGAAAGTGATGAAACTCGGCAGACAGAGAGAGACAGGGACGAACAATAAGTGATCTTTATTTCAAAATGATAGTAATAATACAGAGCGAGAACGGCGTCGGCTTAGTAGCAAGTAGGACCACCGCGGACGGCGATGCACGCAGCAACACGTCTAGGTAGAGAGTCAATTAGAGTACGGATGGCGTCCTGAGGGATGGTTCTCCATTCCCTCTCAACCATTTGCCACAGTTCGTCTTCTAAACGCGGCTGTGGCAAGGCATGCAAACGGCGTCCAATGATGTCCCAGACGTGCTCGATTGGTGAGAGATCAGGAGAGTACGGTGGCCAGGGAAGCATCTGTACATCTTGCAGAGCTTGTTGACTAATGCGAGCAGTGTGCGGTCGGGGGTTATCTTGCTGATAAAAGACATTGGGTACCCCCTGAAGGTAGGGGAGTGTCACCGGTCGCAGCACATCATCAACGTATCGTTGGGCCGTCATAATGCCCTGAATACGAAGTAAAGGTGAACTGGAATCGTACGCGATTGCGCCCCAAACCGTGATTCCACGTTGTCGCACGGTGGGGCGTTCCACAATTGCTGCCGGATTGGACCTTTCTCCACGTCGACGCCACACGCGTACACGGCGACTATCACTGGACAAGCAGAAACGCGACTCATCTGAGAACACGACCCTGTGCCATTCCGTCATCCACGTCGATCTAGCCCGGCACCATTCCAAACGTCGGCGCCTATTCGGTGGGGTCAATGGCAGTCTTCTTAGCGGACGGCATGAGTGCAATCCATTAGCAACCAATCTACGGGAAATGGTTCTGGTCGAGATGGAATGATCTAGGGTGTCTTGCACATTTGCAGGATGGCGGTACAAGTGGCTTGTGGGGCCGCCACTGCTTGTCGAAGGATACGCCGATCCACACGTGCTGACGTAACTCTGGTTGCACCGACATTCCTATAAATTGCCACATTTCCTTGTTCCAACCATCTTCTCCACAGTCGGTGCACCGTGGACGCACCAAGGTGTGTATCAGCTGCGATTTGACGTATGGACCAACCTGCCCTTTTCAGTCCGATCACCATGCCCCTCGTAAAAGCGTCTGTCTGCTTGAACTGCCTCCGTTTACGATGACCTGGCATTCTCTGTTATTACACATGTCTTTTGACACAAGAACAAAATTTCTACAATGATTTTTCTTGAAGAAATAACGACACGAATACTGTCCTTTCTGCAAGTTCCTTCCCTTATATCTTACTCCATGTGCGCACGAGGGCTGCGCATTTTACATCATTTGCATAACTCGGTTAGGCGCGTCTACCCTGAAATTTGCATTATTTTCTGGCCACTATTTCTAGGTGTTCCATTTTCAATGTCACGCAGTGTATATCAAGTCATCGTGGTGAATGAGGACCAACAGCCCGTAACGTGTACGTGGTTAACTTATCTTGAATAATCCAGAATGGGTATTTGGCCAATTCGGTAATAATATTAGTTGATATTTATCAACATCTACTTATATATTTGCCTTATTCTGTCTGTTTGTTTGTCTGTTTGCTTGTCTGAAGCTCACGGATGGGAATTTTCATAACCATCGGTGGTTCAGTGGTAGAATGCTCGCCTGCCACGCGGGCGGCCCGGGTTCGATTCCCGGCCGATGCATTTTTTTTTTTTTTACAATTTTTAAAACTCATTTATATATTATACAAGAATGACATCCACGGCACCAATTTATAATTGTAACGAATAGTATTTGAATTAAAACATTACTAAAATATATACGCACTCGGGTAAAACCCGGGCGTTGCCCGGGCCATTCGTCTAGTAAAGTAATAACGCGTCATCTAAATATAAGAAATGCAATTATTTAAGCATGTATGTTTCTTTTTAAAACATAAATCAAACTTCTACTGTCCTTACGTGATGAAAAAATATTGGGAGGGCTTTGCAAATCAGTGGTGAACATTCCCAGTTGATATTTATGCTGACAGATGGCGCTAGCTACCGCTGGGAGGGTTCACCACTGATGAGCAAGGCCCTCCCATTAATTTTTCCATTACACTAAGGACATTAGAAATTGTTTATTTTTAAAAAGAATTATACGCGTCTTTAATAGTTTCGAATTTTGAATTTCTATATTGGAATAGCACTGTACATATGATAGACAGATAGGCATAACGAAGGATACCTACCATCATGTACATGGCCCCAGAAGGCATAATGGGATGAAGTCCTGGAATACGGATCAAAGCAGAGAAGGCCATCTGGGCATTGTCCTGCACAAGACATTCTGTTAGGTGACATATTAAGAAGAACATTGGAAGCATAGGTACCACAGTGATATGATGAACACTGGTATCCATTCAACAGACCATTCTCATATCTTTATTAGCGTTTTACACCCTTCTTCAATAGAAGGTTGTCCCAAAAGTTCGTAAAAACTTGCAAAAAAATGAAATACCAATATTATTCGCTGTTATGTATAATGTCTTTGTATTATGTTTACATTAATTGTATTATTATGTATTCGCCGTAATAATATTATTCGCTGTTATGTATAATGTCTTTGTATTATGTTTACATTAATTGTATTATTATGTATTCGCCGTAATAATATTATTCGCCGTTATGTATAATGTCTTTGTATTATGTGTAAAGTAATTGTATTATTATGTATTCGCCGTAATAATATTATTCGCCGTTATGTATAATGTCTTTGTATTATGTATAAATTAATTGTATTATTATGTATTCGCCGTAATAATATTATTCGCTGTTATGTATAATGTCTTTGTATTATGTATAAAGTAATTGTATTATTATATATTCGCCGTAATAAAATTATTCGCCAAGTAATAAGAAAAAATACGAACTTTTTGGACAACCTTATATTTTGTGAGCAACCATCTCTTTGGCACTTTCACAAAGTTTTCCCACAAAGTTACCCTCAAGATAAACATTTAAATGCTACAGGCTTTCTTCTAACTTTAACAAATTCTTGTATTGGAAATTGAAATTTTGTTTAGAAAATGTATCAACTAGGCTGTCCAGATTCTGGTCGGTAGAGACTTGATTGTTGTCAAGATTCTGCGAAAAGAGGGATGTGTTATCAGGTACCCATCTGTATCTTTCAAAGCAGGGATAGACGGTTTCTTTCGTTCGTTTGAGATTAGATAAGTTAGACATGTTTATTGTTAGTGGAAGGTGGTCCGAGTATTAGAAATGGGATAACCAGATAAGTATGGGCTAGGAAACATTTAAGAAGAAATTCTTTGAATCCACGAAAAATTATTGGGAAAGAAAGATATGAAATTGATGAAATAAGAAAAAAATACAACTAGCTGAGGCCTATATAGTGTCAGTGAATAATTTATTTAAAAATAAATCAATAATATTTAGATGAAAAATAGACACTTCGGCCATTTGGAGTTTTTTATTTTCTCAACGTTTCGACAAAAATCTTTTGTCTTCGTCAGGAGAAGTAAATAAAAATAAAGCATTTGGTAAGACGTTAAAATGATTTATTTTTATTTACTTCTTCTGACGAAGACAAAAGATTTTTGTCGAAACGTTAAGAAAATAAAAAACTCTAACTGGTGTCTATTTTTTATATAAATATGAATGCCGGCCAGGCAGCCTCTATATTTACGAAAATCAATGATAATCATGATCTTGTTCGTATTATAAACAGTGTTTTCTTATTTATAAATAAACATTTTGTTTATTTCAATTGAACGTCTCCTCGTCAACACTACCGTGACAACTGGGGATACAGGATTCTCCTCTATAGTAGCAGATTATTCTTTATTTTATGAATACATTATTAATTTTGATATTTTTTTAGTATTTTGATACACTGTGAAATTGTCTCATTGTCTCTCTATATTGTAGCGTAGAAATCAAGTCATGGAATATCTTAAGATGTAAGCGTATTTATTGATGACGTCAGTACGACCAGTTGACAATTATCAACCAAACTATCTACAGCTAGAGAATATTGAACAAACAAGCTAAGAAATATTTTAAAGATGATTTTACAAATACAGAGTAATATAAAACGAAAATTGCAATTATACCGCGAATGTTTCTTTTAAACAAAAATCGAAATTTATTTTAAAGAGAAATAACGATTATTTCTAACTTTAAGGATGAAGTATGATAGGATGAATTGTGAAGAGTAATGACAAACGGAAAAATAAAAGTGTCCAGGGATGGGAATCGAACCCACGACCTTCCGCTTACCGGGCAGATGCCATGTCCACTAGGCTACCCTGGACATATTTCTCCGTTCGTAAATATTATATAAAGTAATATAATATAAAATTATATAACGTAATATATATTTTTATAATCTGTTGAATATATATATTTTATTTGAATAATATTAAATATTAAATAATAAAGTATTTCTTCGCCACAATATTATTAGTTTTAATTAGGCTTTTACATTAAATATTTGCCGTGTTAACAACACAACAAACACACAGCATATCATGAAGTTTGACTTTCTTAATTTTCTATGTTACATTTTGGTGGAGATGCTGGGTACATTAGGGAAGACAAACTGAAGATCGCTGAGAAGACCTTGAGGGTGCTGTGATCTACATTTTACAAGACTGGCTCCAGGATCCCACTGCCATGTCAAGGACAAGACTTCCTTCCATGCTGACGATGTCCCTATAGACGATATGACGATAGAGTTGCTTTTCACGCCGCAAGAAAAAGGACGCAAAGGTACTAGGGACAAAGTTCCAACAATCCGATGGAATCCTTGACAGAAACACGTCAGATCCATGTCAGTAGCAACAAAATTTTCAAGCTGTGGGTGTATGGGTGCTGTGATCTACATTTTCAGAGAATGACTCCAGGATTCCATCGCCGTGTTAAAGCCAAGACTTCCTTCCATGCTGGAGATGTCCCTATAGACGATACGGCGACAAAGCCGCTTTTCACGCCGCAAGAAAAAGGACGCAAAGGTACTATGAACAATGTTCCAAGAATACAATGGAATTATTGGCAGAAACAGGTTAGATCCATGTCAGTAGCAACAAGATTTTCAAACTGTGGGTCACAGCTCCCATAGGGAAGGAACTACGTAGCAGATTATTTATTATTTTATGAATATATATTATTAATTTCGATATATTTTTTATACGTTTACACAATGTGAAATTTTCTCATTGCTTCTATATTTTATTAGTTTTAATTTGAGTTTTGCATTAAATAAATTAATACAAAGCAATAACGCACCATCTATATATATCAAATGGAAACATTAATACACGAATGTTTCTTTCACACATCAATCTAATTTCTACTGTCCTTACTGCGATGCTGATGAGCCCTCCCAATATTTTCCATCACAGTATAAGGACAGCATAAATTAGATCTATGTATGAAATAAACATTCGTGTATTAAGGTTTCCATTTGTTATTAAATAAATTGCCTTGTCATTCTGAAGTTTGTCTTTTTAAATTTTCTTTGTGATATTAGAAATTTTAATATATTATATATATCGTAATTTAAACAATGTGATATGTAAGTAATAAAGTATGACGTCTTTTCTAGTCGTTTCAAAGTGACACCAGCTTGCCACTGGACACCCGGGGGATCCAGGGAGGGATAAATAAGGGGCGTTGGTCTGGATGTTGACAGTTAGTTAGGTTACAGTGGATATTTTCGGAGAGGCCCGCTGAGTGCTAGGACTCACGGCGGCCCTGGTGGCCGCCGTTTTGGCTCCTCTCTGCCCCCGCGGCTTCATGCAGGATGCCGAGCTTTCCTCAGTTAATCCTCAACTTTCCCCTAGTTCTGGTGCCACTTGAGAAGTACTAGGAGAGCGTCTTTTGATCCCAAACTTTGTCCTTACTGTCCCGTGCGGACTTCCCACTCTGCACGCCTTGCCACTCAACCCCGACTGCTTCCAACTCGCTTGTTGGCTTACCCGGGTTTACGACATATATATAGAGGTTTTACTCTATGAGAGGACACTCACGCTAGAGGAAACCTCTCTTTAAAGGACAGTTTCTATCGCCAAAAATTCCATTTTTACTATTTAGCAACTCTCTGGTAAGAGGACACTTCTCCCTTGAGAATACTTTGACTATGCAATCAGGTGTTGTCCTTTACAGGGAGGTTCTATTGTAGAATGATCTATTTATTATAAGATATACATTTAAACGAAAGGAAATTGATCTAAAAATAATGGTTATCTCTCTCTTCAATATATAGGTTTAGCATCTATTTTGACGGGAGAAGTGTCCATTCTTCTGTTAGTTTACACAAGGAGAGGGAAAACAACCTACCAAGACAATCTTAACAGTCTCCTGGAAGAAAGAAGAAGGAGTCTTGTGCAAGATAGCAGGAAGAGCTCCTTGGACAGGAGTGTTTGATCCCATAATCCTCTGGCTCAAAGCCTGGAGTCCCAGATGGACCTATGACACAACACGAACTCTCATTATAACTCGTAGAAAATCATAGTACAACATATGATTCAACATGGCACTTTGTAAAACTACATTTGAAATACTATCCCGCATGTGTTTCTTTTCAGAGAAAATTCAAAATTTATTTCAAGGAGAAATAACGATTATTTCTAACCTTTTGGATGAGGTATGAAAAGGTGAATTGTGAAGAGTAATGATAAACGGAAAAATAAAAGTGTCCAGGGATGGGAATCGAACCCACAGTGTTCCGCTTACCGGGCAGATGCCATGTCCACTAGGCTACCCTGGACATATTTTTCCTTTCGTAAATAATACATAAAGTAATTTATAATGCAATATAAAGCGGCTTATGATTGTAGAACGACATTGGCACTTCGTACTTCCTATTTGATTACAAGAAATTCTGTGTATCGTTAATTCTATTGGCTGAAGTATCCGACTATAAAATGAATGAAGTTTTTTTTACTTATCCCTAGTACACGTGGTACAAGCCATGATAATCATGGTGGATAGAAGTTGACGACTACTTTTACTGTAAGTACACCACATGTCTACATATATGAAAAGCAGTTCGACTTTGCACTTACAAATGTGCCAGCTTATCCCTACACGTGGTACAAGCCATGATAATCATGGTGGATAGAAGTTGACAACTGCTTTTACTGTAAGTACACCACATGTCTACACATTTGAAAAGCAGTTCGAATTTTGCACTTACAAATGTACCAGAGCCCCGTTTAGTCAATTGCACTCGTTTGTGGGGTTGAAATTTTGTAAGAATCGGGGGTCATTTTAAGATTTTTTTTTTTAAATCAGAAAAAAGTGTCCAATGCGGGAATCGAACCCGGGTTGTAGCGGTTGAAAATCAATTAATTATAATTAATTGATATCTAGAAATATCTATATTTAAAATAGTAAACAAAGGAGAGAGAGCAAAGAATAAAAGTCTCGTGGCCACGCGGCCTCGCAGGGGTAACCTCCACAGGAAGTGACGTCAGCTCCAGGGTTGCTGAGCCAGCAATTTCACTTCGCTACAATATATAGACGGTGAGTTATTGCATTATAATTAATAATTGATCATAAATAGTAATTAAAAACTAGGTATGTAGACATCAAACTCTTCGATTACCATAATTATAATACAATATAATATAATGCGGCTTGTGATTGTAAAACGACATTTGAAAATTATCCCGCATGTGTTTCTTTTCAACGAAAAATCAAAATTTATTTCAAAGAGAAATAACGATTATTTCCAACCTCCTTATAACTCCCTTTGAGTGTAAAGATTGACGAGATGTCAATAAAGTTGTTTAATTGTCAATTGTCACACCTACGCCCGTTTAAGAACGATTTTTTTTAAATATATCAAAATAAGCATGTTTTATACAACTCCTTTTGAGTTTATAAGCTTATAAAAACGAGATATGATGATCAAAATATTGTACAAGAAACCTATAGATTGAACATATTACATAGAGATGATTGTGTGACTCTATCCATTAGAATGTAAGTGACAGATACTGGCTGTAGGAGTTGAGAACATACCCGTCCACCAAGGATGTTGTTTCTATCTTGGATGAGGATCCAACCCATTCTCCATCCAGGAACCATGAACCTGGAAAACAGCCATGTCATTCCATGATTTATCATCCTACCTACTACTAAAACATCGTCATCAAACAATTATTTAATAAGAAATACACCGAATCACTATTAAAATAATAAAACGGGTTTCTATAGATGTGTTTATTTTCATTTCATTAATGTAATCTCAAGATTTCAGGTATCTCTGCCCTTCTACAGGAGAACATAAAACATCTGAACTTACAGAAGTACATAAAACTTCAGGAATTCATAAAACTGTTTTATATGTTCACCTGTAACTCCGCCTTTGCCGGTCCCAAGCCCGGATGAAAAAGGAGGAGGGGGAGCAGTAACAAGCTCACTAAAAAACCTGGGCTCAGCTGGCCATGCTGATAGTACCCTGTAAGGGCTCCTAATCCAGGGATACAGGATGAGCAGTGTTTGTACTCCATGTTAGGAGCGGCTGTACATAGCGTCTGTTCCTTATGTCAGAGGCGGCCATTTGTTTTGGAGCTAAGTCGGCCTGCCACTGAGTAGTACTCCCAGTCTTAATGACAAAGGTAGACGCATTCTACTTCACTCAATCATGATGGTTGTCAAATCTCAACCATCAAAATATTAAGTTCTACAAGTTTGACACCCTAATATGATTGAATGGAGATAAGAAAGAAGAAGATATGTTCACCCGTAGAAAGGCAGAGATGCCATAAATCTTGAGATTACATCAATAAAAAGAAAGCTCATCTCCAGAAACCTTTTGTATTATTTTTTAAATCTATATTTTAGAGATTTAAATCAAGTATAAAATGTTCTGAGATTGGAATTTTCGGGAACTACGTACCTCTTAGTGATTCCTCCGCAGGTCAGCACTGGCACGTTGGTGGAAAGTGACGCTAGCGGGATGAAAGGATGTCCCGGGAACACCTACAGCCAACATATATGTCTTTGAGTATGAATATCAAACCTCCAGGGAAAATATCTTTTCCAAAAACCTTTTCATTCTCTAGCATTCAAGTACGAACGCCCTTCTACGGGAGAAAACATGGTATAATGATACCACGTTGTCTGTATGTTTTCTCCTGTAAGAAGGGCGTTGAAAAGTATCTTTTCAAAAATATTTTCTATTCTCAAGCTTTCAAGTACGAACGCCCTTCTATAAGAGAAAACATGGTATAGTTAAACCATGTTGTTTGTATGTTCTCTGTATGTTTTCTACTGTAAGAAGGGCGTTTAAAAGTATCTTTT